AAGTAGAAAGCAAATGTTTTGAGAATGATGAGGGCAACAAATGTACAAATGTGCTTGACACAATGGATGGATGGATGGATGGATCATGATAGGAATTGTACAAACCCCCAAAAATGCTTTTTTTTAATTAATTAATTTATTTATTTTTAAGTGCTTTTTTAAAAAAAACCAGGATTGGTTGTAAGGACTGAATATAGAGCACAAAGCCCGGCCAACAGTATGACTTGCTGTGAGAATGGTAGGTGAAATAATCCCTACATGACAAAGTCTCCAAAACACTAAAGCGCTGCAGTAAAACCATGGAGAGACCAAGTTTTCGAGCTGGGCTGTGATTAGACAAAAGAAGACTTGCAGTAATTGCAAGAGCCTGAATGAAAGTCAAAAAGGTTTTAAATTTTAGGTTATGGTAATCACAAAGTTGGAAAGTTGAAAAGTGAGGCGCTTACAAGGAAAACAATATGCTCAGCTGGAACACATGTTTTAAGAGATTTGAGTTAGAGATGTCCCCTTAATGTTGTAGCTGTGTTACTCACTTAAGCTGGTGTGGGCATGCCAGACCAGGGGTAACAGTACAACAAACTATTTGGCATTCTTTGGTGTTAATGAACAGGGGAAGGAAGAGGGAAAAAAATCAGTTAGCCAAATTGGCAACATTCGTTTCATCAGATTAAAAACAAGAGCATTGGCTCAAGGGGATAGATGTCACCTAAAGGAAGGGAAGTATCAGGAAGACAGAGCCAAAAAGCAGCAAAAGTGTTTCAACCAAAAGGCAACAGAAGTTTGTTGCAAGCTCACAACCAGGAAAGCCCTCTTTCTCACCATGGGCCGTTTTCTTGAAGCAGTGGAGATTGAATTAGTAAAGACTACTGCCTGTGCAACTTGGATACAAAGTAACTATAGATACCGACTTTATAGGGGTGTTTTCGCTATTGTGCCTGAGGCGTTGCACACACACCCCTCCCACATACGAGCTGGAAGTGCCCATCACTCTTCTCAAGTACAGAGCTCTGCGTTTAATACGACTGGAACCAAGTGTTAAAGCTTGCAGCCCTACAGAGTCAACACTGACTTTGAAATCTGCAGTGCAGAACCAATTTGTACTGCTAGTGCCAAGCATACCGTCTGAGTTTGAGCTGGTGGCAGGTATGATCTCTAGTGGCCGCGCGATGACTCGGGCCATATATGGCAATGACATCGCTATCTCCCAGGTGGGTCTGTGGAGCTGGGAGGTCTCTGAGATAACATTAAAGGTGATTCTCAGGGTACAGCAATACAAACCACCTGGGACAGAGCCACTGGTTGGTAAAGACTGGCTTAAAATACAGATGTCTGGCCTTCAATCAACTGACTTAGGGCATGAATCTTGGGTAGCTGCACTGTTTCAACGTCCCCTTCTAATTTCGGTACAATAAAAATTTGAGAAACACTCGCGTTTCTGAAGTAGTGTTTTAGAACGAGAGAAGCCTTTCCCGAGGGAAGGGACGGCTCCTCAAAGGTCCAATTCGGAGACCGGGAAGTGGCCACGCGGGGATCCACGATGGGTGGTCTCACCCGCCCGCAGGCCTGCAGGGAGGCGGCCTTCACGCCGGGGCGCTCACCTGGACCTCTGGAAGAAGCTGAAGGAGGACACGTCGTACGCGGCTTTGAGAAGCACCGCCTTGGGCTCGCCTTTGTAAAGGACGCTGAGGCTGTACAGTTTCATGGCGACAGCGCCCGCCCGCCGCCCAGCCGGCCGTGGGACGCGATCGCAGGAAGCTGTACGGCCGTCCAGCCACCGTCCCTCGCGAGTACCCCACCGCCCCTCGGGACTATCCCACCGCCCAAGTCTCTCAGGAGTCAGCTGCTGACTGGGCGGAAGCCGACTTCCGTCGCCTGCCCCCGGACGCATTTCCGGCGATGTACTTCCGGTTCCGGTACTAGGCCCGCCCCCTCGGCCTGAGAGTAGCTGCTAGGACTTCAAGCCTTGGGCTGCTCATTGCAAGGTCAGCATATTCAGTCCAGCCTCTCTGGCCTGACAGATGGGGCTCTCTACTCCCGCAGGGGGTTACAACCTCCGAAACTCACGGGGGCGGTTCTATCTTGTCCTTCTAGGGTCGTTTTGAGTCGGAATTGACTCTACGGCAGTGAATGTGTTTTGGGGGGTTGAAATACCGAAGGCAATGAGTTTGTTTTGGGGGGGCTGAAATACAGAAATAAAGGCCGGAGGCTCGCGTACGGGGCGGGAGGGGAGCTGCACATGCGCATTGGTGTGGCCCCGCCACGGGGCCGTCCGCCCCGCCCCACCCACGACGGCGCGGGCGAGCGGCCAGAGTGCTCAATGCTGCTGCTGGCCGCAGCTCTACCTGCACGGCGACAGCGGACGGGTTTTGATTTGTCTTGTCAACTGCCTTCCTGGAGAGCTTTCTGTAACTCAGAGCCCCACCTCAGTGCAGGGCAGCTTGTTTTGTTCTGGAGAATCCCCGGGAATATAATTGCATACCTTCATCTTCAGACGCCTGCCACAGGCCCCGAGTGGAGAAAATCCCTCAGCACGCTGCTCACGGGGGTCTCCCAGACGAGGACAGCCGAGAGAGCAGTGATTTAGGACTTTATCGAGTAAGCAACCTTTTTTTGCCTCAAAGAGGCAGAAATTAGATCCTTACTGCAAAGAAGGAGCAAATAAGCTTGGGGCACACTTTTTTTTTTTTTTAACAGAGTATTGCAACACTTGATTAAGAGTATTGGCTTTGAATTATGGGGCACGCTATCAATGAGTAATAAGGTGAAGAGATTTATTGAAGGTTGAAAACAGTTGGAAACAGTCATGGATAGCATGTATCAACAGAATACACTGTGCCCTTGAAAGAGTTTTACAAAGTCCCCACCAGTGAAAACGTGTTTTTTTCTTTAAACCAGCTAGTCTGAAGACTTGCTAACGTCAATGAAAAAGAGAGGGACCGTCAGTTAATCAAAGGTCATTGACTCCTGACATGTTAGCATACTTAAAAAACGCTCTTGGGTGGAAATTAAGAAGTAGTGCTCTGGGTAAGGGTTGGGTGGTTAACTACAAGGTCTGCAGTTCAAACCCACTCAGGAGAAAAAAATGAAGGTATCTACTCCCATGAAGTTTTACAGCCTTGGAAACCCTATGTATGGTTGTTATGTGTCATGTTTTAAGGTACAAAAGAGACCCTCATTTTCAAATAAAAACCCAGAACATGTATTAAGTCTTAACAGGACAAGTCGAGGCAAAGACACATCCTCTGGATGAGGAAGACCAATAGCATGAGGTCATAGTAGCGTCCAAGGGTTTTCAGAGACTTCAATAAGACTTGGGAAGCCAAAGGAAACTCACAAAAACATGATTGGTGGCAGATCAATAAATCATAGTTACAAGTGGGACGATAGAAGCTGAAATTGGGACACATACCAGACAGAAGAGCTTACAAGATTGGTCCAGGACCTGATGGCCCTAGTACTCCAGTTTCCATGGAGGGCAAACCTATAAAAGTTCTTAAGAGCCCATTTGCCTGACTGGTGAGGGGAGGTGACAGTAATCTTTCTACTGCTCTCTGCTTGAGAGGAAAGTCAGGCTTCTGGTTAATGATCAAAAGAATTTAATGGAGCCTGAATTTATGTGTAGACTCAATGGGTTTGGGGCTTCCACTGTGAACCATAGCCTTCTGCAAAATCAGTGCTCAGAAATTTAAGCTCTAATGCAGTAGAAATCTAGATAAGAGTGAGTTTGGGTTTGGGTAGAGATTAAACATTATAATGAGGCATACTAAGGGTCGACATCTTGGCATCTCATCCTGTACGTATAATCATATGAAATGATGTGTATTACATGATCACAAGGTAGTCTTTACCCAGTACAAGAAATTTGGAAACTATCAAGAGGCAGACAGAACCTGGGGACGCCACCCTCCTCTTTCTCTAAATGATACTTAAAAAGTATCATTCCATTCACTTTGATGTGTCTTCCTTAGCTTAAGTCACTTGGGACAACAAACTCAGGGCTTCATGTGTAATCAATTTGGTGACCCTGATGGAAATAGATCTTTAGTATACCACTGCTGAGGTTTGAAACCACACCTGGTATGCACTGGGACCTATTTTTCCAACCCCAGATGATTGAGACCAGCCCCAAATTCAAAGTTGATACTGCTAGTTCTCCACGAACACTTGGCCTGAGGCTCCCTGTGTGGAGGGCAAGTCCAAATAGGTTCAACAAAGAAGACTAGCTGAGACAAGTAAGCATGGCTCATGAAGCTCTTAACTAAGATTGAGCAGCTAATGCACCTGGTGAAGTAAATCCATTGACAACAAAATGTAGGTTCATCCCTCAAAGGAGAAAGGGTAATCTAGTTGGATTTGGCTGGTGAAAATGGGTCACTTTTGAACAGGTCTCTGCATCTCTAGGTTGTTGGGCTTTCTTTGGTTTTGGCACCATGGGAAACAGTTCAAGTGGACTTCAGTCCTTCAGGATGTATTTTGAAAACTTGGTGTTACCTATGAAGAAATCTGGAATGAAGTTTTTATATAAAACTGGTTGAGCCCAGTATGTACTCGGGAATCGTGCACAATGGCCCAAACATGGATCCTTAGATTATAATAATATCTTGCAGCTTGGTTTGCTTTGCATGTGGGAAGGGACATGAGATGAGAAAAAAAAATGTATGTATTGACCTGTGGGAAAATAAGGATCTATAAAAAATAATGTAAGGTTTTTGTGCAAAAGGCAAGAGGAAGGATTCTGGAGACAGAACTGGATGGGGGAAGACCCACAGATAGGGTGTCAGCCTCCCCCAAGGGCTAACAAAAGCTCTCCCCTCTCTGTAGACCATCCATCAAACCCTAGCCGCCACCTGGGACATGGAGCCCTAACCCCTTCTCCTACCCATAGTGGTGCCTGATTTGGATTAGAGAATGGGAAAGGTATGTCCCCACTTCTGGAAAATTCCAGATTTGAATGTGAAGGACCCAGCCAGCCAATGCAGATACTTTGGGTGTATATCTTTTTCTATCTCAGGCCTACTCACTTGGCAAAAATAATTTGCCCTCCTACAGAGAGGGTTTTGAGAGGTGCAGGATCCTCTTACACCCATCTTTAAGACCCATAGTCTCACAGGAGCACATTGTCAGGCGCTATGTAACAGTCTGTGCTCTCTGGAGGAAGCAGAACCGTGTTTGAGAGCGCTAGAGGAAGCACATCACCCCTCCACCACCTGAAAGCTGGCCCACTGAGAGAGCTGGCATGGGTCCCAAGTGTCCCTGCAGAATCTGGGTTCATAGCTGATTACCAAACCTTTTTACTGGCCAGTTTAAAAGAAGACGTCCCCACACAGAGAAAGGTAAATAAAATGTATGATATGAAACAAAAGCCAGAGGAAGATCCCTTCAGTCTTTTAGGAAAGAATTTATTCGACTTTTTGTCTATACACTGAAGCTTTTCATCTATATCAGCAGTTCTTAACCCATGGGTCGTGACCCCTTTGGGGGTCGAAGGACTCTTTCACAGGGGTTGCCCGATTCATAACAGTAGCAAAATTACAGTTATGAAGTATCAATGAAAATAAGTTTGTGGATGGGTGTCACCACAACATGAGGCACTGTATTAAATGGTCACGGCATTAGGAAGGTTGAAAACCACTGGTCTATAGCCAGACAGTGCATTAAGGATGAAGAAGTTTGGTGTTGTTTATTTTTTAATTGGTCAGAGGATGCCTGATATCTGGAAGAAACGTTAGAAAATAGAAGGGAGAGTGGGAAATTTACAATGAATAGATAATGCCTTCATAGTTTATATGAACCAAGAAGAGACACAAGAAAGAAAGGCAATACCAAAGACATTGCGTTGTGCAGTGGTCCTAAGTCAAATTTAGAAAGGTGGCCACTCCTGCAGGATCATCTCCACCAACCCCCAAATCCATGTGCTTGGTGAAAGCAGGGTGGCCAGTGGAAGAAAGAATGCCCCGAACAGGAGAAGAATCAAGGGAAATAGAGGAAAGAGCTGGGAGGAAAAGGGCATTTATAGAGGTCTAGATAAAGACATGTACATATGCAAATATATTTATATGAGGA